GAAAGTTCAGTCACGGAGGTTAACTTCAGTTCCTAGCATGAAAGAGGTCTCGAAGGTTCCGCCAGCCTTCATCAGACCAATGAGCCTGGTCATTTTTATGATTTTGAGTTTAGTTCTACATTTTCCTCCACTCTATCCAGGAGCTTTGATTGTGATCCCTTTCAGCCCGGTTAGCAGTGGTAGCTGGGCACCTTCTAGTTCTTCTGGTCTTGGCTTGATTGGGGAATAGGGCAACACAGTTAACAAAATACTAATTAACTACAAGTTACACACTGAAACAGCTAAGTTGTTAGGGGAATTCCTGTATAGGCAACTGGAACCTGATTACTTCTGCATTTCTTTCATCTGTACACATTTAGTGCCTAACACATGTGACTGCTAACCAGAAGTCTCGCAGTTCAAACCCACCAGCCACTCCTTGGGAGAAGGTTGGGCAATCTACTTGAGTAGAGATGTGCTGTTGTTGTTATGTGCCGTCGTCAAGTCGTCTCTGACTCATAGTCACCCTTCCCTTGGGTTTCCGAGGCAGTTTTGGAAGCCCAAGGAGGGGTTGCTAGGAGTCAAATTGACTCAGCGGCAGTGAGGTGTTTTTTTTTAATACATATTTTATTAGTAATTTATAACTAATTATAAATTGATAATTCAATAACCAAATTAACCACCATAATAAACAGTTGAGGACTTGCACTAGGCAGAAAACCCACAAAGAAAAATGAAAAATTTCCTTTGGAAATAGTCACATTATCATACTTTCTTTCCTTATACCAATCACTTTGGGTTTCTTTTTTTCCTTTTCATATATCTCTTTATTTCAATTTTATTTTAAAACGTAGCTATTCATTTACTGACTAGTTATGTGAACAGTACAAAATTCAAAAGATGTAAATGGGTGACAAAGTATTTACTACAGATGTAATTGTTCATGTGCATAGAGATATTTAAAGGATATTATTGGTACATAATTTATAGTAGCAAAATATAACAAGCAACATATACATCTGTTAATACACACTATTAGCATAGAATACTCTGCATCTTTTAATACCAGATGCCTCAATAAATTTAAATATTTAGAGAATGATCTCCAGAATTTATTAAAAGTAACATAAACTAGGCATATAATAGTTTGCATAGCATATGACCATTTGTATAATCAAAAAGGCAAATACACCATACACATATGTATAGACATGAATATGCTTCTATTTCTATAAAACATCTATAGGAGATTATATATCAGTCACCTCCAGAGTGCATTACTAGGTGCTGGGGAGTTGCAATGGGAGGACATTTTTCACTCCACCTTCCTTTGTACTTTTGTTACTGAAACATGAAAAAAAAAAATCCATTAAAAAATTAAAACAATCTGTATTTTTTTTAATGACTTGTTCATACCCTTTCACTATTTTTCTATAGAGTTGTTGGTTTCTTTTTACTGATTTTGAAGAATGATCTAGAGATTACAAAATTTAATGCTTTTTCTATATCAATGTGTTATAGAATTTTTATTTAGTTTGTTCCAGTTTTTTAATTTTGTTTATATATTTGTCTAGATTTTTGCCTTGTACAGTTTTTAAACTTCTATGTGGTCAAAGTTATCAATATATTTTTTTATGATTTCTGGACATTTTTGTGTCATAAACAGAGAGGGGCCTTTCTCTTTGAGAGTAATTTTTAAATAATCCAGTTGTCTTCTAGGACTTTAAGGATATCAGTTTCTTATATTTAAATCTTTGCTTCATCTGGAATTTATTTTTATGTAAGGTGTGCAAAAAGTAATGACAATGATGATGATGATGATTTTCATGTATCTATGGTGCTGTCCTGAAGCAGTTTCTTAAATAATCCTCCTTTCCTCCATTGATTTTAAGATTCTGGACTTTGTTTAGATGATAGGTGGTAAGAGTTCCAAACTCACTGCTTCTTCTGAAACCAGAATCTTTTTTTTTTTTTTTTT